ACACAACAACAGCAGGACTATTTTACACCAGCACTGCTTCGTGAAACAAAAAAAATCATCTTTATGCTTCGCATTAGGGCAGCACAGCATGGTATGAAATCGTGATGATGTGAAATTTGTTGGGGTCTGTACCAAACAAACATGTTTTCTTTATCAAAAAAATGCAGCTTCAAGCTTCTGCACTCAGTCATACTGCAATTTCAAATATATTTTGATTATGCAGCCCTACCTCACATTCAATATATGACAACTTAACACCCATGTTTAGGCTCTTTCCATTTCAGTAATTCCAATCCAACCTTGTGTACGTGCGTGTGCACATGTGCTTGTGATTGTCAGAAGTGAGCAGAATACAGCCATTCAGGTAAATCATTAGCTTGCAATGAGTCAGTGCTAGTGTTTACTTTTGTGCCTTAGCCCCTGTTGGTGCCTGGGCCACACACACACACAAACGTACACATGCTCAGTGAAACGTGAACACATATACACACAAGGTCATGGGCTCAGGGGTGAACAGGTGTGCTTCCCCTGCAGGTGCTTCACTTTCCTTCACAGCCAAGCTGACAACAAGCACACGCTGAGTGTCTGCTCTCTCACATTTAAACTGTTGGGGTTTGGCTTTATACTAGCAGACATACTTTTATCTTTACCCTCATGTATGGCTGATTGAGACCGAAAAGTAGAATGAGTCCTGCATCAAAAGCAGCTGAGCAATAAAGAAAAACAACCCCCTTAAAAAAATGCTTCAAAACATGCAATTAAAGATACAGATGATAGCAGCTAAAAGCATTTTGATGTAAATTGTTTTTTTTTTCTAATCAATTCAGACTTTCAATCCTCCAAATGTGCCACCAAACACTACAAGGCACACAATGCACTGGGGCACGGCTCTACCTTTGACCTGTTGTTCAAACAAAGCGGAAGGTCACTCCTCTTGTCAGTGCTGCAGTCAACGCCTCGCCAGGAGAACAAATGGGGGTTTGTTCTCCGTCCGGCCCCCTCCCTGCTGTCCTGCACGCCCCCACAGCACTAGGGGGGGCCAGAGGAGATGTGTGTGTTGCTGCCTTGTCCGGTGGCACGATTAAGCTTTACACTGTAGTTACTTCAACTTTTCCACAGCCTCCAAAACACAAAATAAGCAAACCCCAATCCTAACTCTGGAAACAGTGGCACTCTCATGCTAACAGGGGGACCCTTCAGAAATATGTCTGATGATTCCTGACCTGCAGTTTAAGAAATATTCTGACACCCACACAGGCCTGCAGCTCTTTGTAAAGTGGTTGCCTACTTCCCCGGGCCAGCCCAGGGTTCAGCTAATCCCCCATGCGTGAGCCAAATACCATCTGTGTTTGTTCGGCAACAAAGGGGGCACTTGTTAATGACTTTCCATGTCTTCACTGGAGTACTGCCGCGGGTGGGGGGCAAAGTAGGGAAGTAGGCTACGGAAAAGACGAGTCAGGCAAGGCAAATTAAAGACCGCAAACTAGGATCAATAACTGTGCCGAGCTCTCAACCATCAGGGCTTGGGGCACACTGGTTTCATTTACTGAGGACAGAGGACACATCTGAACCAGATTCCCATCATTGGATCACTTTAGAAGCTTTGTTTCCACACAAAGGCCAAAACAGGTTGAGCTGAGGGCTTAATCATTAGTAAAGGTCGCTAAAGTGTCCTCTAAAACAAAACTTTTTCACAGTGATTCATTGTGCATTTGTTTTCCTCCAACCAGGATGATAAAGTGTGGTTTAAAGGTAATGTTATTCTGCTTATGTTGAATGCCACTTGGCGCTGCTGTGGCTGAAGGCACTGCAATGTCACAAACAAAGCAGCCAAACAGCCTAATAAGAGTTTACTGACTCTGATCCATTACCACTGCTACAGCTACTGACTGAAGCCTTCCTCACCAGGTAAAAAACATAATCTGATATGTTGAGCTCCTTTTTTGTCTATCAAAACTACATGACAGCACAAACGGTTGATGAAAAGCATTAAATGCCACAAGTGGTAATAAGTTAAGCCTCAATTCAACATCTCCCTTGTTTTGAGGTGCATTTAATCTACACTGAATTTACCAAACACTTCAGAGATCTTTTGGATACTCATTACAAGTCTCTTTTGCACAGTGCATGTCTAAACTGTTTAAAAGCTCTAAATTCCTGATGAAACTTTGAATACCCATTTAATGATAGTTAGAGGAGAAGATCGATACCACTCACATATCTGTGCAGTAAATATGAAGCTACCGCCAGCATGAGTTTAGCTTAGCATAAAGACTAAAAAACAGAGGGAAACAGCTAGCTTGGCTCTGTCAAAATGTAACAAAATCCTCCTACCAGGGTCTCGTTAACATGTTATATCTTGTTTGTTAAGTCTTAAGTTCTACCTAAAAAAACGACACTGTTAAACATGTTGTGGTTATTATGAGGGGTTATGTGATGGTTCTAGATCTTGCATTTGATCTACACTGAATTTATTAAAGATTAAAGACATTACTGTGAAACTCTGAAAGCTTATAAATCTGCTACCTCTTTTATAGAACAATACCAGAAACTTTAAGGTCATGATGTCTGATCAGAGTGTAAATCAAAGTAGTTGAGCGTAAGAAACTTTCAACACTTATTTCAAAATGAAAAAACAATTTGACCCACGACCCAGGAGTCGAGAGAGGTTATGAATCCCTCTGGTCCATCTCCAGATCGCCCAACATGTTGCAGCTGCTCTACAGAAACACAGACTTCTTCTCTGAATAAAGTTTCATACATGTTCACAGAAACAACCAGATTCATTACCGAGCAGAAAGAGTAACTACTGAGCACAAACTGCTGAAGATGTTCATGTTGATATCACCTTTCTGGTTCTTTTGACTGAATTGTGATGTGAAACAAAGGATTGTGATTTGAAACAAAGGAGGGCCGCGCACTGAGCATGTTTTGCAAGCATCGGATTGAACTCTGATCCCTGGATAATCCCTTTCACCTCCTCTTTTAAATTAGCCGTGTGACACGCCAGCCCTCTTAGCTCATCCGTTTGCTGTTCGTTTATTAGCCTCTAGCCTGACTCCACACTGCAGAGACTCATCTTAATCCAAAACATAGCCATTACATTTTAAAGAAGTTGCCATGGTAACATATCACTTTAATTATTAAATCAAAAAATAAGAAGGTATTCATGCAAATATGGGGTGATTACATTCAAAATACTGGCAAGAAAAAGTCAAATAAGTCAATAAACAGGCACATTTTTACCAAATGTTTCAGGGAAGTATGTTTTAAGACTAAACCCATGATTATATCCCAGATGGACATTTTTGCAGCACACACCATAAACCCCTCATCAGCGTCCCTTCCCCCTCTCTCTGCCCTTTTCCACTCACTCAGGCCCATCTGCAACAGCAACTCGCTTGGTGGAGCAAATTTAGGCAGCGAGCAAAAACCAACAATCCACGCTGGTGCTGGCCCTTTTTTTCTAACCCGCTCAACTGTTAACTGTGTTCTTTGCCCTGCCATGCAAATGCATGTGGATCAAAGCAGGCATGATAGGACGACGCCTATACGGGGCCTCTTCCCAAAACCAACAGCAGCTCCTACAATGCCCAGGGGTTTCCATGGTCTTCCTCTTTTTGTGGGAGAAGCAAAAATCATGACCATGTCATTTTCTACAACTCCCCCCCCCCCCCC